TTAGGCAGCCATTTGTTAAAAAGCGTTAATTTGGATTCTTGCATTAAGCAGTAAGTTGGACTCAATGGCCCTTCCAACTCTATGATTCTACGCTGTGTAGATTCATCTTTGTGTTGTTTCTCTTTTGCTGGGATGGAGTTAATTATTTCCAATTAAATCTAAGTATATTTTCAGAATGAGGGGGAAAGCCCAGATATAGCACTTCTCAGCTTCACAAGCATCCTTGCTGTGCTGCAATTAGGGATGTCACAGCACCAATTGTCTTCACAACTGCAAGGCAATCTAATGGCTTAATAAACAACACTTTTTTCCCTACAAAATGAGTGTCTATACATGCTAAATTTGCAGCATTAATTAAAAACATTATTTCTCAGTGGCTTTTGGAAATATAACTGCACATTATGCTGCAGCAAGTTCAGCAGAAAACATGTGTTTATGGAGATTTGAAGAAACACATGGTCTAGGTAGTTTTTTTCCATTTTGTGACCACAAGATATTTTAGATAACAACTAGTATCTACAACTATGCTAGTTGAGACCAGTGGAGTAGTCTGAAGGGCAATCAGTGAGCTTCCAGACAATGGTCTTAGCACTACTGATCAAAAGGCATCATGGATGTATAATCATGGGTTCTATAGGGTTTTTTTTTCTCTCTCTAGCAAGTTTTTTTCTGGTAAGAAAAAAATTGGAATAATGATGAGAAAATATTGTCACACATAGAATATGATAACATCTTAACACTACACAATGAGGAAGAGTTATTGTTAATGAAAAGCAGCATCTGAAAATATCAGTCTTGGAAGAGCTAGGATGTGAAATATATGAACATAAATAGGTGAATATATTCTGGTATGCTGGCATCACATCTTCTTCCAACTCTGAAGAGCCAGTACAAATGAGAGTAGATATATCTGAAGGCATAAATTGGAATGGAATTACTTTACAGGATGTTCTGACTTCCACCGTCTTCACTGGCCTCCATGAAGAGTTTTACATGGTTGTTATTAGGAAGTTAGAGAGTTGGCAAATCCTTGGTTTGGGCGCAGTGACAAATTATGAGTTTATATATGTGCTTTATATCACTTTATGTAGCTGTATTGAACAGCTCGTTCAAAGTTGTCAGCAATGTTTAACCACCAAAACATGAGAGTTTAAAACACAGACTAAAATTGACAATAAAGTAAGTACTAAAATCAAAACCTTGCAAAGGAGATATCTCTTTGTACATTGAGAGCTTGGGCCAAATTCAGCCCTCAAAGGAGTAGGTCTCATAGCCTGGGAGAAGTATAGGAGAAGATCCTTCTATATATCCAAGAAGGACAGGCGTCTGAGATTAGGGGATCTTCAAAAGGGCCTCTCCTGCAGATCTTAACTTTCAGGTCATTTGTTACATTTATATCCCACCTTTCTTCCAGAAACTCAGTAGAACATACATACCTCTCTCTCCTCCAATCTTTTATTAACACCAATACTAGTTTCAGCTGACAGTAAGACAGGCGCAAAGTTACCCAGTGACATTCTGAGGTTGAAGTTGGACTTGAACCAAGGTCTCCCTGATACAGGCCTTCACCACAACATCATGCTGGATTATTCATTCCATCCCTAAAATATAAACTTTCCTTAGGAGACTGCTGTCAAATTCTTCCTGAAATTGGCTTTAATGAGTTTATATCCCACATTTTCTCCATGGCAGACCTCAACAGCTGACATACTAACTACTTACAGAATGCTTGCTGTTGTATGCTTTATAATAAAATAAACAAATAACAGGCAGCACGTGTGAGATTTACAACTCACCACTCATCCAAGCGCTAAGCAGCCCAAAACCACTTAGCAAGTTCACTGCATCTCGTGTCTTCAGAGTATACCTTTTGAACCATCAATAGTCAAATCACCAAGAAGATACAGTACAATTTTAGCATCCAAATGCAGAGATTTGCAAAAAACCAGCCACATGCCAGATAAGACAGAGCCACCTTTTCTGAAATGGATGGCTATATAAATGTAAGGAATAAATAAAATTCACCTTTTCCAGAACAGACTGGCAGTATCTCTTTAGAATTTGTAGAAAGAAATCAAAATACCAAGAACTATCCTAGTCAATGAAAAGCAAGTCCTCTATTACTGAATCACAGCTCCTTCCATAACAAACAGGTATAGTAATAATTCCCTTTGTGTACATAATGTAGTCCTGGAGAGAAAGGTAAGTACTTTCATCAGAGAATATTCAGTACCTTTACTGTATATTTACTGAATTCAAAGCACCAGATTCTTTGAAAGGAATCAAGGAAATTAAACAGGTAAAGAATCATAATGGTTTGTTGTACAGAAATACAGTCAGCTAAGATGGGGAACACCACAAAGTTCATAGATCCCACTTGTCATTATTTGTAATGGTTCTTTGACCTAGAATTCAACCAGAGAGGTTGGGGTTCTAATCCAGCTTTCCCCATTTTTCAGATATGTTAGACCATAACTCCAGTTGGCTGGAGACACTGCTGGCTGGAAATATTGAAATATGTGATTTGATATATCTAAAGAGCAATAGCTTCACAAAAACCATCCTAATCCCAGTGCTTACTTGTCTTACTTTAAAGCTCCATTATATTCTTCTGATTAATAGCAGGAACTTATGTAGTCTCAGGTCAGGAGAAGCCTATGGAAGATAGATGTTTCCAGCTCCACAGTTCAAAATGTGAATCTGCCGTACCCAAAAACTAACAAACAAACCTCCCTGGAAGTCAACTGTATCCCCACAATCTTCTGCACCTTTCTTTTGAATTCCTCCTCTAATTTTTCAGAACTGTAGTGTTAGACATTTACAAAATAATGAATGAGTACAGTACCATCTAACCTAGGCCATTGTTTTAGGGCTAGGCTCTATCTATAGAGAAGAAAAGAATCAGTGTGTGACACCTTTAAGCTTGCTTTAAACAGATAAAAAACATTTGCTATTGAAATGGAGACTCAAAAAGGAGCCATAAATCACTATGCACATCATACAGAGCAGATGTTAGCAGCTGTTAGAAACTGTGTGCTCACCTTAACTTTGCATCTGGGGCAAGAACACAGTATGGACTAATTAGTATGAAGCAGGGGGAAAAAAACCATCAGCTCATTCAGAAACAAGACTGAGATTGTACTTTAAAACACCCATTTTGCTGAGAATTTCAAGTTCAATTCTAGTTCATTTGGAAACACCAGACTGGGGAAGGCTTATTTAAGCGGTAGCCAGTCGCCCCAAATCAGGGGGAGATCAGTTCTAGATGACTGGTAGCCATAAATCAGTTGAGAACTTCAAAGGATAAACTTGGAAGATGAAGATCTGATGGATAAACATCCTTTGTGGAGGGACTGAAGAGAGAGAGAGAACAACATACAACACAGGACACATCCACAATAGTACTACCTCCCCCAATCTAGTGCTCCCAGTTGTGTTGGCCAACAACTTCCATAGTCTCCAACCAGCAAAGTCAACTTCCTTTCCAATATATCCAGAGGGACTTTGTCAGGGAAGGCTGATACTGCTGATTAAATATACCTTTCCAGTCTCCCTCAAACTGGTCCCCCCCCCCCAGACTTGTAGGAGTATAATTTTCAGAATTCTCAGCCAATAGGAAAGCAGACTGGGGAATGCTGAGCTAACACTTTCCAGAAGGTTTTGGCTGATTTAACCTAGATATTTTTTACATGGGAACCATTCATATCCCTGAGTGCATGATCCATAGATTCTAGCCATCCCATTCTGCCCAACCATCTGACATTTTTCCCAACCAAAGCTAACATTTTTTGTTTGCTTATTGATAGGCTGCCTTTTAGATATAGTATTTCACTTCAGATTATATCCTAATGGTCCCGTTTAAAGCAGTGCAGAATTCTCTAATGGACAAGATGATTTGCGGAGGACCACTTACAACCCCCTTTACAGTGGCCACCAACAAGGGCGGGGGTACTCGGCATCCTCCAGAGATTGGGCGTACTGGTCTGGGTTTAGGAATCCCACACATTTAGCGGGCACGGGCTGGGAAAAGCTGTGCTAAAACGCGTTCCTTCTCCCCCCGCGTCCTCTCTTAGACGCTTCACCATCAGCAGGCAGCAGAACCATCTTTCTCCGTGAAGCGGCAGACGCGGAGGCTCGTCTGTTATCACTGCAGAATGGTCACCTTGTCGGTTCAGGGGAGGGGAGGGAGGGGGCGGACCCCCAT